TGAGACGGAGTTTCGCTCGTTACCCAGGCTGGAGTGCAATGGCGTGATCTTGGCTCACCGCAACCTCCGCCTCCTGGGTTCAGGCAATTCTCCTGCCTCAGCCTTCCACATAGCTGAGATTACAGGCACGCACCACCATGCCCAGCTAATGTTTTGTATTTTTAGTAGAGACGGGGTTTCACCATGTTGACCAGGATGGTCTCGATCTCTTGACCTCGTGATCCACCCGCCTCAGCCTCCCAAAGTGCTGGGATTACAGGCTTGAGCCACCGCGCCCGGCCTAAAAATTTCAAAAAATAATAAAATAAATTTAAAAAGAAAATAATGGGAGAGGGCACAGAAGGTTTCAAAAGACAAAGAATTTTCAGAATTATGGTTTTAAAATATCAGGAAAAGGCAAAAAGAATTGGATCATAACCAGTAAATTAAGTACCCATGAAAAATGGCTAGAAAGACTATAATAACATGTACTCTTTTAGAGACGGAGTCTCGCTCTGTCACCCAGGCTGGAGTGCAGTGGCATGATCTCGGCTCACTGTAACCTCCACTTCCTGAAGTGATACTCCTGCATCAGCCTCCCAAGTAGCTGGGATTACAGGCACTTGCCACCATGCCTGGCTAATTTTTGTTATTTGTAGTAGAGATGGGGTTTTACCATGTTGGTCAGGCAGGTACGAACTTCTAACCTCAGGTGACCCACCCACCTCAGCCTCCCAAAGTGCTGGGATTACAGGCCTATGCCAAAACACCCAGCAATGTGTGCCTTTTTTTTCTTTGAGACAGAGTCTTGCTCTGTTGCCCAGGCTGAAGTGTAGTGGAGAAATCATGGCTCACTGCAACCTCCACCTCCCAGGTTCAAGCAATTCTTCTGCCTCAGCCTCCTGAGTAGCTGGGACTACAGGTGCACGCCACCGCACCCGGCTAATTTTTGTATTTTTAGTAGAGACGGGGGTTTCCCCATATTGGCCAGGCTGGTCTCAAACTCCTGATCTTGTGATCCACCCACCTCGGCCTCCCAAGTGCTAAGATTACAGGCGCTGGGTGTGCCAGCACACCCAGCAACATGTACTTTTTTCTTTTTCTTTTTTTTTTTTTTTTGAGACAGAGTTTCGCTCTTGTTACCCAGGCTGGAGTGCAATGGCGCGATCTCGGCTCACCGCAACCTCCGCCTCCTGGGTTCAGGCAATTCTCCTGCCTCAGCCTCCTGAGTAGCTGGGATTACAGGCACGCGCCACCATGCCCAGCTCATTTTTTGTAGTTTTAGTAGAGACAGCGTTTCACCATGTTGACCAGGATGGTCTCGATCTGTTGACCTCGTGATCCACCCGCCTCGGCCTCCCAAAGTGCTGGGGTTACAGGCGTGAGCCACCGCGCCCGGCCCACTTTTTTCTTTTTAGAGAAGGAGTCTCGCTATATTGCCCAGGCTGAAGTGCAGTGGCTATTCACAGGTGCGATCCCACTACTGATCAGCACGGGAGTTTTGACCTGCTCCTTTTCCAACCTGGGCCGGGTCACACCTCCTTAGGTAACCTGGTGGTCCCCCACTCCCGGGAGGTCACCATATTGATGCCAAACTTAGTGCGGGCATAGCGCATTGCAGCCCAGAACTGCTGGGCTCAAGCGGTCCTCCCACCTGAGCCTCCCAGGTAGCTGGGACTACAGGCATGTGCCACCACACCCAACAATATGTACTTTTTTGAAAAAAAAAGATAATTGGCCGGGCGCAGTGGCTCAAGCCTGTAATCCCGGCACTTTGGGAGGCCGAGGCGGGTGGATCACAAGGTCAAGAGATCGAGACCATCCTGGTCAACATGGTGAAACCCCATCTCTACTAAAAATACAAAAAACATTAGCTGGGCATGGTGGCGTGTGCCTGTAATCCCAGCTACTCAGGAGGTTGAGGCAGGAGAATTGCCTGAACCCAGGAGGCGGAGGCTGCGGTGAGCCGAGATCGCGCCATTGCACTCCAGCCTGGGTAGCAAG